TAAATTTTTCAAGCGTGTCGATTGGCTGAAGGATAGTAAAATTCTCGAGTATCTAGAAACTTACTATTCAGCGGCCAATCGACACGCTTGAAAAATTTGTCGTACGACAAATGTAATAGTACCCTAATATCCGTATTCATAGTCGTTCCTCAATTCTCAAGGGTAGTTTGTCTTTGTCTCGCGTATGGTAAAACGTAGTAGCGAGACAAAGACAGACTAACCTTGAGAATTGAGGAACGACTATGAATACGGATATAAGAGACCACAGATGCAGCCAGGGGTGCTTTCGCGACGTAGAGTAAAATGATCCGGATCAAAATGATCCGTGCTATGATTGGTCAAATCTGAAATTTCGTAGCATCTCATTGAAATTTTATTCAATGAAATTTCAGATTTGACCAATCATAGCACGGATCATTTTGATCCGAATCATTTTACTCTACGTCGCGAAAGCACCCCAGGACGCGAACCAAGAAACCTGTACGTTACCGGCAGAGTTATCTCTAGAGAAAAAAAGTTTTAACATTTGTGTGCAGATGGCGCATATGAAACTCCTGTTATATCGATGATCGGACAGTATCGATATTTAAAATCGATGTCGCAGGTGGTCGCCAACGCAGTGCCACTGCCGACGCTGCTGACGCCGACAAATATCCGCATCGTACTCCGAGGTCCCGCAAGTCACGTACAGCGTCTAATAATCTAATATAATACAGCAAGTGCTTGCTAAAAGAACTACCGCGGCTGAATATGCCGTATAGCGAAGAATACATTAAGGACAAGGTGAACGTGGGATTGAAAGCTGTACACGTGGTAGGTGGACCGACTTTTCTCTCTTTACGTTTCTCTGGCTCTATTTCCGTTATTTACGAGATAAAAGCGCATGACGACGTGCCATTTTGCCAGGAGCCTCCTCTCGAGTTCCTTGCCGATTAGTTTCGATTCGAGGATAGCTATTCGAAGCGACAGACGTGGGCCGCTCGTATGAGGGATAATGCGGGGAAAGCTGCAGCTTATTTTCATCACCTCCCTCGCCGTTCTCTTGAGATGCTGCGTTACTTATCACTCCCACAGCGGAGAGGGCAAGCCCCCGATGTACGGAGACTACGAGGCCCAGCGGCACTGGCAGGAGATCACGTTGAATCTGCCTGTCGACAAGTGGTACATCAATACCACAGACAACGATCTGCAGTATTGGGGCCTAGATTATCCGCCTTTGACGGCGTACCACAGCCTCCTGTTAGGTCACGTTGCCAACAGAATAGATCCCGCCTTCGTGAAGCTGCGGGAATCCCGGGGATTCGAGAGCGCGACGCACAAGCACTTCATGAGACTGACCGTATTGGTCGCCGACATTCTGATCTACTTGCCGGCGATCGTGTACTTTATAGTCAACTCGCATTCGCGGGGCAGTTGTCAGTTCGACGAGACCAACGTATTCAGGTTTACGAGGCGAAACCTCGCTGTCCTGACCGCGCTGATCTACCCGGGATTGATACTGATAGATCACGGACACTTTCAGTACAATTGCGTGTCGCTGGGCCTCTTCGTCGCCGCCGTGGCCGTTATAGTGCAAGATTCATTCGTCGTTAGCTCGGTCCTGTTTGTCCTGGCGCTCAACTATAAGCAGATGGAGCTGTATCACGCGTTGCCGTTTTTCTTCTATATACTCGGACGTCACACGCCCGGCAAGACGAGGTCCTGGTCCCACTGCGTTCGCAGACTGACACGCGTGTCCCTCGCGGTGCTGCTGACGTTCTACGTTATCTGGATGCCGTTTCTCAAGAGCAGAGACCTGTTCTTCAGCACAGTACTGAGACTATTCCCCTTTTCCAGGGGTGTGTTCGAGGACAAGGTCGCCAATGTCTGGTGCGCGATCAACGTTGTCTGCAAATTGCGGCAGATTTTCACCAACGCCCAGTTGGCCAAGATCTGTTTAACGGCGACAACGTGCGCGGTTCTACCGAGCTGCGTCAGCTTGTACCTGTCGCCTACGAGAAACGCGTTTCTACTATCTCTGATTAACTCCGCCCTGGCATTCTTCCTCTTTTCGTTTCAAGTTCACGAGAAGTCCGTTCTCCTGGTCGCCGTTCCGGTCTTGCTGTACTTTCACAACGATCCTCTCCCTTGCTTCTGGTTCCTCATCATCTCGCACTTCAGTATGCTGCCGTTGTTCATAAAGGATGAGCTGTACCTCGCTTACCTCGGCACGATGGTCTTTTACTTTTGTTCCGTCTCTTGGGTGTGGCCCGAGCTATTGTGTAACAGTAGAGCAAAAAGCGTGTTAAACAAGGATAAGTCAAAGTCGAGAAGTAAGGCAAGACAAAGTAAGAAAAGCAAGCTCCTCCCAGATTTGTTGAACCTCAGTAAAAGGCGCTGGCTCCTCGTCGCGTTCTATGGATCTATTTCAGGTGCGTCGCTTCTCTCCATTGTCAGCCAATTGGCGAAACCTCCCGAAAGTTACCCGGATCTATTTCCGCTTTTAATATCGATATATTCGTGCGGACATTTTCTAATTTTCTTGGTGTATTTCAATTACGTGCAACTGTTTGTATTAAAGCGAGAGACCGTCGCAGGTAAACTCAAGTCGCATTAATCGAGCTAGTGAAACTAGAGAATGTGTAAATTGTAAAGACTAAATAAATCTGCTCTTTGAAAAGGGCATGTAAAGACGAATCGAATTTCATTGGTCCTTTTCCGCAATCTTGATTGATAATCTTGCTACGCTTCTCGCGTTTACTCCACATCGCCATCGTGGAGATGGTGTGTTTTGAAAATTTGAGAAAACGGTAAGATTTGTCAAGTCTGTACAAGTGATTTTGTTCCTTACGGACAAGAAGCTTGACATATTGGTTTATTTAACGCAGCACATTTGTATACGCAGATTATTTCCTTCCTTCCAATACCCCACCGTTGTGCATTCCACATAGTTTGTCTATAATACAGTTGCATCAGCACGCAAGAAGGCCTCCAACTTTTTCTAAACAGTTATCAAAACGCTAAGCGCAAATTTCAAATTTAAACCTTACTTTAATTTATGACTTGCTGTTTTTGTAGTATCTACAGATGATAAAAAGTCGGTATGCTAAATTATGAAAATTGGTGCGCATACACGTGCATGCATACTTTTGTCTGAGCGTAAATAATATTTCATGCTAAATATTTAACTTTAATCTCTTGTTCTATTACGTCAGTTGTTGTAGTTTTGTTAACGTAAAATATGTAGGATAATACTCAATTATGGCTGCTTTCCTTTTAGAGGCTACCGAGGGGTAAACTGCTGAGAATGTTGTGCATGGCTGGACATTATCAGGCATTTTTTCGGGCCTTGCTGGGGCATTACAAAGATAAAATAAGACAAGATAAGATAAATAAGATTAAGTAATGCGCACTGGGCATTAGTAGGCATTGGTGTACGTGACTTTGGTCAGCGGTTTACCCCTCGGAGAATACAGTCGACATTTTTTCCACAAATCGACACTGTTCGACTTTGCTCGAGAGGACAGTGTGTTTTCTGGCCGAAGAACGCATCCGCTCCGAGAATTTCGACAGAATCTTTTCTAAACTTTTTCACTTGATTTGGTCTCAGGAATATGCTGTTGCAATAGTGTTTCAATTATTGCAAATTTTCGTGTACGTAAGTTTTATGTGTTACAATACACAAAACTTTTCAATAACTTTTCAAAACAACTTTTGTTTGAAACGTTTCTCCGTATCTTTCGTATTTTTGGAGATATTTGCGTGGATCATTTAAAATGAAACACCCTGTATAACACGCGCTACTCCGGCATTTTTTAAAACACTGCATTATTAGTAACATATTTTATTGCCTCCTGTCTACGAGAAATCAATTCTTTGTATTTCTATACAAAGCTGAATATGCCAACATTCAGAAAGTTAGATATGTATCAACAGCCTCGCTCGAACTTTGCCCCAAGATTTAATCCTTCCTACCTAATTTACATTAACGTCAGTAGGATGTTCTCGGTGTTTTCATGACCAATTCTAACACTATTCTATAGTACTTTTGCAGTGTTTAGTCGAGGAAACGTCCGAGTTAAATCGGTTAATTTAAAGCGTCAACAGTCCACTTGAGCCAAGCGTTATACCGCTATGAAACATGTTTACATTTGGATGTAAACAGGTGTATGTTCAGTTCATGTTTTTAATATTTAATGTCACCTGAATATTGATGTTAGCGGCAAAGAAGTTGTTGTTCGCGTTCGTTAAACGCACGTTGGTGGCTTTAGAAAGGTACTGTTTGCAGTACGTTGTGTGTTACAGGAAGTGGTAGATCAATCTGACGGTTGCGGCGCTAAATTTTCGGTGGTTGTCGTCTCTGACTTATTCCGAGGAAAGCCCTTGCTGCTACGTCACAGGTAATATGCCATTCTGAAATTATGCATAGATTTTTATGTCTTTCTCATAAAAAGACGAATAAGATTCACAACATCTTTGCTTCAATAATTAAATATTTGTAATCCAGGCTTGTGTATGGAGTCTTAGAAGAAGAACTGAAGACAATCCATGCCCTCTCGTTAACAACATTAACGCCAGAACAGTGGGAAAAAACGAATGACTGATTGTCGAATCTTGTTAAATCCCATTTTATGAATAGAAAAGCAATAAGGAATTGGTGGAAAGATAGAACCTGTGTTACTTCTAATTATTTATATAACACAAGAGACTGATCATTATCGTCTAATCTCCCCTACGTTAGGCGAACACGCATCGTTTGATAGAAAATTGTGAGAGACTCGGATCAGCTGTCTAACGTCATATCAATTTTCCGGATAAAGGAAACTTTTATTTATAAAATAAATTATCATTCATAAAAACCAAAGATGGTCAAGTTCAGAATATCTGCACCGGGCAAAATAATCTTATTCGGAGAACACGCGGTGGTATACGGAAAGACTGCTGTGGCGGCCAGCCTAAACTTACGTACCACTATTGATTTAGTCCAATTGCCTAAACAATTACAAGATATAAACAATGTTATTAAAATAGAGCTCCCTGATGTCCAATTAACTTTGAGTGTTCCTTTACATTCAGTTACAGCCTACTTTGTAGACGGTAACATGTCTGCTTTCGATTATCCGTTGATTAAAATTAACGATCAGTTGCACAGCTATGTGAAAGAGTTTGTCGATTCGTTAAAGAGTCTTATAAACAAGAGTAACAAATCTAAAGTAGAGAGCAGTGTTCTCGACCAGCAGAAAGTAAGTTTACAAGCGTTCTTTTTCTCGCTCGTTTATATGATCAAAGAAGAAGGACTCAACATAAACAAGACCTCCTTCTGCGTGACCTTGTCCACGGAATTAATGGTCAGCGCTGGCCAGGGTAGTTCGGCGTCGTTCGCGGTATGTCTTGCAGCGACTTTTCTGTATTGGTCGCGCCTGCAGAAAGGAATTAAACGCAAGGGCTTCGAAAGAGACGAGCTTGACAAGATCTCTAAGTGCGCTTTAGAATGCGAGCGAATCATGCACGAGACACCGTCGGGAATCGACAATACCGTATGCACATACGGTCAGATGGTCAAGTTCCAGAAGAAAGAGGTGACGGATATGATAAAACCGGAATTCAACGTGCTGGATTTTAACGTTCTGCTGGTTAATACAAATGTTATGCGGAGTACGAAAAATCAAGTGAAACAAGTAAAGGACCTGAAGAATTTACATCCTACAATCATCAATCCCGTCTTGGACAGCATCGACGCTCTGTCAAACGATGCTTGGCAAACGATCAGTAAAATGTACGAAAAATGTTGTCGCGACTTGTGCGGAAACCCTATAACATTTTCTATGGAACCAGATTGGTACGCGACATTGTCGGTAAGTCCCGTTTTTGTGAACTTTATTATATTACTTTGTTACATATTTTTGTAAGACTTACGTATATATAATCGTCTGCTAGAAATTGTAGCTATCGTTTGGTGTACATTTTGTAGCGTTTCGTTCACATGAACCAAAGATTGTTAAACGTATTAGACGTGTCGCACTCACAGTTAGAGGTGGTTTGCTCAATGGCACGGGCACGTACGTATGCGGGGAAACTCACGGGTGCTGGTGGAGGTGGATTTGCATACATTTTGCTGCCGTTCAATATCTCGAACGAACACACAAAGTCCATCCAGGATCTCACAGAAGAATTAAAGGAAAAGGGTTTCTACGTTACGATGGCCACTCTCAGTTGTCGCGGAGTGGAAATTGATTATCATAATGAAGTATTTCCAGATAATTGAAATTAAGTGAAACGAATAATTATACATTAAAATATAGCTTACTTACAATGGTGTCCTTGGTAGAAGAATGGAAATAAAATATTATTTTATATAATTCTGTACGTTCAACACATAATAAAGCATCTATTTGTTAAATAAATACATGAAATATTACATTAAAAAATAGAAAAATAACAATAAAATATTCTTTCGCGCTAATAATACGTAACGAATGTTAGATACGTCTATATGTCATATTTGTGTGCAGAGTCTACCCGAGGTAAAAGGATATTTGCTTCATTCTTTTCATAGATATGTTAAATTCTGTAGACTGACATTTCCTTCATTTACAAGAAAAATTAATAAATATAAGCAAGATCATCCTGCTCCGGATCCCGCGCTATCCTCGAGTCTGCTCTAATGATTTACCTTACAATTAGTTGAATTAAGCCTTTTTTTAATGCAATAAAACAATGAAAACAACGCTGCTTATTGTTCATACTGAAACAATGATATGATCCATATGAAAATGTTATAATGTACCTCGTAATAATCACTGTCAGAGTATATATTTGTCGCATGAATAATTATACACACGATGAAACTAACACGCACGTCAACGTGAGTTGAACAAAATGATGATGATTTCCTAAAAATAAAATTTTTTTCTAATTCATGACTAGTTTGTAATATCAAAACTATAAAGGAAGTCATTCGTTTCTGTTAAATTTCATAATTGTATCCTTTAGAATTTTATCGCTAAAAAAAGATCCTTAATGTAACATTATATAATACATTATCTCTCCCTACTGTTAAAATCTTATATATTCGTTAACGCCTAAGCGAGCTACGTTATTACGGTAAATGCACTTACACGAGTATAAGCGAGACATCTATAAGTTGATTTTCCAAATCTGGTCTAAGTTACATCACCGATTTTACCGAGTAGGTATACTATTGTTTTGCTGATGACGCAAATTGCCGTTTAATACAAGATGATCAGAATCGGAGGTCCCGTCACCGCTTCCCTCTTCTACATTGCATTGCGTTGCATTAGATACAAGTTGCTTTTCTTCGGACTTTGCCTCGGCTATCCATTTGTTTATTTCATACGTGTACATCTTTCTCTGTAAAACCTCCCGCGTACGCGGCCGCGAACCAATGAAGAGAGTGCTTCCTCCGACAACTAGAGAGTTCCGCAGATTTTCGAGAGTTTGAAAATCTTCGATTAGGCATTGCAATTCATCCCATTTTAATTCCACCTCTTCGTGCAACATTTTTTCCTCTAAAAAAATAAGAGCAATTTAAGCAACATGTAAGAATTAGAAAACTTACGAAAAATTGCCCAAATGTATGTTTATTACCGTCATGTTTTGAAGTTGATTTTTTATACTGAATCCTAAATCGAAAAGCTTCCAGGAAACTGGATACCACGATTGTCAATACAATCATGGTCACTAGATAAAATATCATGAAATATATCCTTGTGTACATGCCCGCGGTAAATGCGTATGCATTCATTTGTATAAACCAATTATTAACAACTGTTAATTCGAAGAGTGTAATTCCGCTCGCTATGAGATTGTCGAAAGTGTTGAGATAATAATATCCCAATGCCGTGCTACCATTGACAGAATACTCGTAGAAATCTTCAACAGTCGTATTCCTGTTTGAAATATTTGAGAAATGTTTAGATTGAGAAACGTTTAGAAAGTCGAATAATACATTATGTACAGAAAAAAGGTAAGAGATAAAAAAAACACGTTTAATGACTTGGTACTAACTTGCAGCAATTGCGCATATCGTATCCGGCAAACAGTTCCATTCCAATGATCGCGAAAAAGTAATACAAGACCAGCATGACGATCGCTGTCGAACACATCTGGGGAGACAGTATTACCAGAGTGCCGAAAACGTCTCGGTAGCGTTTCTTGATCTTAAACAACCTCAGCGTTCTGAGAGGCCGGAACAGAACCAGAAACGTTGCCGACGGGAATACAATGAGAACGCACGCAGCGACGAGGGTCATCACTGACGTTCCCAAGTCGAAAAGATTCCATCCGGAGCTCAGGTAACATTTAATACCAAGAGCCAATACTTTTGACAACGCCTCGGCCACGAAAACTGTAAATTTATTTGCATCTTTTAATCATGGCTTCTTCCATTTTAAGATATTAATTTTAAGAGACTTTCACTCACGTCCCCCAAACAGCAGAGTATCCCAACACGCGGCAAATCCATGCGCCGATTCCTCAAGACTGTTACTCGGTTCAAGAAATCGTATTATCATGGCGATACAATTACCGGTAATAATTACACCTGCGAGATTACGAATGATGAAATACAAGACTTTCTCATACGTATGATCATGTGCACGCATCATTTACTTACACACCAAAGTTTCAAAATATGTCCATCTGATAGCAGTATGGGCGCCTGTGCAAAGCGTTTGCAAAGGCCACCATGCAGTGCGGTACCACGGTATATTAGAGTATTGCAAATCCCACTGAAGCGTATTGGCGTCATAAATTGACAAGAATTCCTCGAAAGTTAAAGCGCCACTTCCCGATGTATTTATATGAGAAAATATTAAAACAATGTCCCGCATCGCTGTAAAGAGCACATAATACTGTTATTGCAGGTAAAAAATTATTTCTCTTCCTCTTTGAGTTTTGTATGGTGTGAAATCAAAGTTGCGTGCGTGTTCAATAATAAGACAAAATCAAAGCTCATAACATATATAAAATCTTATACACGCACGTTTATTCGGGGCGTAATATTGCATCAGACCCTTGAACTGACGGAACCGTATCTTGTCAGGGTCTTGGTGTGAAACCAAAAGCTTGAAAGCGTGTTGACAAGCCTTCCTCTTGTGCAGAAACAGCTTCTTGAATTTGTCACGCTCGCGAGACGTGAACGTCTCGTTCACAACCGCCAGCATCAAGTTCATCATCACGTACAGCATGGTACACAAATAAGATACGAAATACATCGCGTACCACTTATTTTGAGAATACGACGGCATCATTACGTCTGGAAAGCTGCAAATTGCGTCGTCAATCGATTGCATTGTTACATTAATTACATCGGATTGCGTGCACTTACTTAGCGGTGGTAAGAAGGACAAACAGGCTGACGAAGCTATCTTGCATCGTGGAGAAATTTCTGTTCATTTCGCTGAACATGTAGTAACCCAGTATGGTATACACAGTAATCAAGAAGAAGAGAAGCCCCAACATATCTAGAATGGGTGGCAGCGTGAGAAGTATCTGCCGTATAAATCTTCTTACGCCGCCGCAATACTTGGTGTCTATCAGAAAGATGGGTCTCAGGGCGCGCGTCACGCGAAAATGCGAGGATTGCCGCACCATGACTGTCATAGCTTCGAGAAACATGATTGCTAGTGTGATACACTGAAACAGAAATCGACACGCGAATAAGAGAAAGTCGATGACCCGGCAGCCTTGTGTTTCTCCTAATCATTTCGAATCGCACGTCACTCTCCGTTCATTTAAATTTCATGAGGGAGATCGCGACACGTCTCTGACATTGCACTAATTCAAAATCTCATTATGGAAGTAAACTAATAAGTCATTACATATTCGACCGCAGTACTCATTACTCATTCGGACAATGCGGTCGTTGATCGTTAATGAATAGACGACTACTGTCTGATACTCTTAATATCGTTGCATAATAATTATCAGATACAAGTGTACGAACGAGCAACTATTCGAATGATCTGATTATACAAATAATCTGTTTTCCTATCAACACTGTGTCCTCCGTAAACACATTGTTAGAGCTGTGACATTTTGGCGTTATCTTTATACGCAAAATATCGCAACATGCCCCAGGAACGTTCGCAGAGAAATATTCCGAGCGTGGGGTGTCCTACCTTCAACATTGTACGCTTGTGCCTTAACATAGGCGCCCAGCCGGTCCACCTCAGCTTTAAAACCAACTGCATTGCGATAGTAAGTAACGCAAGTAACTCCACCGAGCCATGTACCCAGACTGGCACCTACAGCAAAGCATACACATGAAAGATATCGCTGAGAAAAAACACCATTTATCTATGACGTACTTTGAACAGTGGCAGGGCAGGTTCTTCCGAGAATGCCAGCGACAGCAGGATCAACGAAACCAGTAAGTCTACTCCATTGTAACAACCGCTATGGACTATGAGATACGCCGGCAAATCTTCAGGATGCCTTGGGTGAGAATCGAATTTCTCATTGTTTCTACCTTCCTGAAAGAATAATCGTTTGGATAGCGACAACAAAGGGTACATTGGTCTTAACTAATCGAGCAGCTGGAATTCAGTATATTTCAAGTTTCCTCAATGATGTATCGAGCACCCAATGCTTACAATGTGTGAAATAACAGACTACACATCTCCGAATATTACATAACGTACATTACGTACGTAGCAGTGCTGCGGAACGTGTGCACATGCTATAGAACACAATAGATATCCTTGAAAAATATAATAATTGGCCGCTCGATCTTCCACCCGTGTACATGTACATTTCCGCGTTCCATTAACCGTTATTATCTCGGAGACGGACTTTCACGATAAACCGGGTATAGTTACCTCTAAAAATATCGCAGCCTCGTGGTAGTTCATTTCCCAGTTCAGGTCGAGAACTCCGTCCACGTCGAGGGTCGCGTCGCGCGCGGCGAACCCTATATCCTCGCCCATGCCTGCGGACCTCGTTTCATCTGCCTCGTACTTGGGACTCCGCTGATTACTGTTATTAGCATTGCCAAACGACGACCTTACACGACTCTCCGAGGTGGGCGAGGACAGCATGGAGCCGTATTCTACAAGAAGGAAATACGCGGTCCGTCTCAGTGATCACGGCATACCTTTAGGACTAAGAAATCACGCTGGTTTCTCGATAAACAGATACTGGCACTTAAAATACTTTCACAAGTCAATGAAATTAATAAAACACAATTTTTGGCGCGACCGCCGAGGAGAGCAACGGTTTCTACGTGGCCGTACGTCGTCGCTGACGGATCTCCGGCAGAACCGCGACTGGTCCCGTTCTCGCAGGAGACTGTCGGAGGCGGGTGTCCTTCCTGCCAGCGGTGCGCGATTCGCAACGTTGCAGCCATTTCGTAACGCAGGCACATTATCGACGGGAAATCTAGAGGGATTCCGGTGCAACGGGGGAATGCCGCGGGCGGACTTACGTCGGCTCGGGCCATTGGTGATGTTCTGGTCGAGCGGCAGGCTGGTCTCGTCGTCGAATCGCTGGTAATCGGCGTCGTGCTCGCCGAGCCGCGACAGAGACATCGGAGCGGGCGTCCCGCCCGCGTCGCTCAGCCGACGCGGGATTCTCGCTGGCTGATGTCACCGGAGAGCCGCGCGGTGCGGCGCGCGCTCGCTCGAAACGTCGGCCAACGTCGGCGGGGACTGGGGGAGTCGATCTCGGTCTCAACGCGCTGGCGTGCACCGGCGACTCCACCGAGGTGACGTCCGGCTCGGACTGCGCGCCGCGATGTGCACGCGGGCGTATATAGGCGGACGCGTGACACGCTCCATGCTATCGAGGCGCGTCTCTCAGGGAGAGATGCGTCCGCGTTATCTGCAATAAGAATGACAGACATGTGCACGCACGCCCGCGCCTCGGAGGAGGCGAGCGGTGCGATCCGTCGGGCTCCGTCGCAGCCGCGATTAGCTCCACTACCGCGTTGCCATCTGATAATGATCAATGAGTCTTGGATTTCGTTTTCACGCCGAATAATGATCACGCGACGGCAGCTCCTCAATGAGACAGATCTCTGTTCTGGATCCTACTCCGTCCGCAACGAGGTCTTTTTTCCAAATTGCAATCGGGGAATCTTGCTGAAATTTTACATCTTGATACAATGAACGTTGAATTACGCTAGAATGATTTAGGCCCGCATTTTGAACCCTCTTTTGCCAATAAAAGCCCAATGAGAAATGATTAGTCAATCGGCACCGTCAAATTGACGTCGATACTCGATTGAGTCATTTCCCACTGGGAGAGGATTCAGAATACAGGCCTGGGACAATTCGCGCGAGCGTAGAATTTAATATCCGTCGCTGTCTTGTGGAGGCTAAATGCGAGATTTTAAAGTTCACGCGGAGAGACCGATCGACCCAGGGAATACACTCGTCGGTTTACGAATGATCGTATTGTGAAAAATCACGCAGGACCCAGTGAGAAAGGATTTGTCGATTCGACATCGTTTCGACATCGATCGACGAGTCATTTCTCGCTGGGTCTGCGGTAACAGAGTTCACTGTCCCTGGCGAAGTAATGAAGAGAATACGATTCTTTGTCTTCTGATAACGACGAAGAAATGCCGCGGCATTCCTCGTGTACTTACGCATAAGGTTGCATGGGATTCTCTGCACTCAGCCGGTTCCACGCAAACGTGCACTCGACCGGCTCTTATCCTTATCAGCCTCGTTGGCAAGCGTGCCGGGCAATTAGAAGCAATGTCTTATCGCGAAATAATGAACTTCATTTCCTAATTATTCCTATAATCAACAATATTACGCAAAAATTATGAGCGGAAATAATGCATAATAAATTATGAAAGTAGCACGGTGCATTGGCTAAACATTGGTCCAATGTTGGTTATATCAGAAATGCATTGGCCGATATTGTCCAACGTAAAGCCAATATTTAGTACATGTAAATATTGCAGGATAATAATTGTATATCAGATTTATATTGGAAATGCATTGCCCTGGCGAAAATTTTAAGTGAGAGATGATGTTTATATTTATTTATGAAGAGTTTTACCGATGGGTACGCTGTTTGGAAATATTGTACGTTGCAAACACCTGGTTAATTCTTTACTGACAATAACAATGTACAAACACTTAGAAAATAATGATGGAAACGTTTGACATTGTATCATTAAACGCAATTTGAACACTTGTAACCGTGAACGTGTAATAAACAACTGTAAACAACTCCATGTTTAAATCTCACAAACGATTCAATAAACGTTTTAAAACTCAAATAAAACATTGACTCAACATTTAAACAAATCTCTTATGAACATATTACTTTCGCCAGGGTGGCTAAGATTTAACAATGTAATAATTGATGCAATATTAGATCAGTATTGCAAAATAGACATACTGGCTAAATAAGAAAAGGCGTCCATCTTACAATATTGGGCCAATATTGGGAATACTAGATTTACATTTCCCAATATTGCGCCAATATATTGTGCCACTAAGGAAATTAAGGCCCCTGGGCTCGCCACGGCCATGTTGGAAATCGTCGTCGAGCTAGGGCCGGTGTTCATAGTCAGATCTTATATTCAGGACCATCTTGAATTTATCTAAAGATGTTGTATGAGAACATTTCATTAGCTATGTATCCAAAGATAATCTTAAGACGGTCTTGAATATAAGATTCGACTATGAATACCGACCTAGGACTCGTGGTATTGATGGACTAATCTTTATGACGGGCATATTCCAACCCTTGATTTTGACCAGTCATTTCAGGACCACCCTGTAGCACTAGCAGTCACAATTTGTATGAGAACGCAGTATTGAGAACATAGAAAACACAGAGGACATAGGAAGTGCCGATAATTCACTTTTCGCGTGCTACATTAATATAATCGATTCACGAAATCGCATACGTGTCGAATTCGAGAATCGTTTCCCGCGTGCATTGTAATTGCAAATTCCTTGTCACGTGCGCGTACTTCACCGATAAAGCAGTGCAAGAGCGACGAGTGAATTATTGTCCTTATCAGATAATAAGTTTCACTTTTTCGTGGGGCGATCTGGCCGAATGTTTCTCTTATCACGACGTTACCCGCGCCTTTGCTCCAGCTGCTCAAGATGATATGCTCGAGGTGATAATAAACTCGTTTCCTACGAATTCATGTCACTCAATTCGCTTTCTGATTAGACTGCGGCGTTGTCAATGTTAAAATTAGTCGATTATGTAATGATGTTTTCATCGAGCATGTACCAAAATTTTCGTCTGTAAAACACAAATTCATTATCGCACTTGCATATTGTTCCTCGCACTTTCCTATGCGAGAAAATGTTTTTACACGAGACATATAATGCACTAACGCGGTTGACTCGCAGATGTGGGAGATGCGTACGAACGAGAACGATCAGACTCGATTTACGGAACTTGAACGTTCAAGGCGACGTTCGTCGCGTGGACTGCGCCGACGGCGATCACTTTGTAGCCGTAAAGTTAAACGATGAGATAATCGACGTTGACGACAGTTATTGTGATCGACTCGACGACGAGTGGCGGGCGGTCCAAACGGATCGTGATAAGGTGCTCTTTTACGCACTGAGCCAGATTGTTTATCCAGAAATCGACACGCCACGACCGGAGAAGCTCGAGTCGTTGTACGCTCCGGTGGACGTGCTCGATGTCGTATTGCTAAGGTGGCAAGCAGGCAAAGCGATCGGATTTTATACCGTTAAACCTACAGGTAATTACGTGACGTTAGCAAAACTTCAGGAAAAGAATAGAGCATTCTTAATTATTCGCCTAGGCACAGAAATATTCTCGACGAAGGAGAGATACGTGATGCCTGTAGTCGACACTGCGTACATTCGCTCGGAATATAGGAACCAGGGTTTCGGTACGGGAATTCTGTCCGACGTAACCGCGCGCTTTCCAAACGAAGACATTGGTTTCTCCAAGCCAGTCTCCAGCGGAATGTTACGAAGTGAGTGTCCAGCGTGTCTTAACGTGTTTACAATAATACACATGGGTTTTCTGCGTAGTACTGAAGGCGTTCCTGACGAGTCGTAAGGAGTACCGGCTGCGTTTCTGGGAGGTCGCGGACTGCGATATCAGCGGGTCTCAGCAACTGATATGGTGTACTTTAAAAAGGGCAGCATTATGACAAAAAGCAGTTAGAATTTATTATAAAAACCATCACAATGGCGTAACAGGATATTTATGTATTGTACATTATACTTACTTGTATATGTATACTTGTACATATACGTATATCTAGGGAAATGCATGTCATACATACGTACACACGTACAAGCACATGTATATTTCTATATACGTGCGCATGTACGAATGTACACGTATGGAAATTAAATGGAATATATTATTTGAAAAATTTACCATCGCTTAACGAAGGAAGGAGTATTCACATTGCCTCACAAATGTATGAAACGCATCTGCTATTTGATTCCGCAAATATCCGCTTTACTTTAAATTACTCTTAAATTCGTTCAACAAAATAGATCCTATAACCATTTTTTCACAGTTCACGCAAACCTCCAATTGTCCGGCGTCGATGAATTTTATCGTCACCAGCACCAATGATTTGGACGCTAAAGTATGAGCGGCGAATCTGCAAACATTTATGACGTACTTAGTTTTCTTTTAGACTTAATTAAGACAAAAACTACGTTTCTAAATTTATTGCAATTGGATTATCGACAGATGCATGTCTTACCGCATCGCTTCATCTTCGTCGGATACTTTTGCGATGTTTGCAGTCTCCAACACTTTTTGTGAAAGAGCGTTTTTCTTCCCGGCATACGGTATTTTCGCTATGTGCTCGTTCATACCCTTTAGTTTAGCTCTCTCCGCGTTAAACATCTCTTCAGGCAAGGTTACAGATCTTATTATCTCTCCTATCGGCGGTTTGATACTGACCGGACACGAATATTTCTCGTCGTTAATCGTAAAGTCGATATTAAAATTCGCCGGTTGAGTGGAGTCGTTAAAATTAACGCCCAGCGTCGAAGATAACGTGGCGTTGACGTCGAGCGATGTTATTTGCGTAAAATCGTGAATATACATACCCTTTTGCAAATTCTGAAAGGAAAGTGCGCATGAAATACACTATTTCATAATAATAATAGTATGACACTTGGAACATTGCTCACTTTGTTTCCTATCTGGACCTCCTTAATGACATCGTTGCTTTCATTACAGAACGTTAATTCGATACTAACCAAATTCGAGCTAACTAAATGCTGCGATCTTGTAAATCTATATTCAATTTTTAAACCGTGTCCTATGATACTATTTAGCAAAGTAGTACTTTTTAACGGAATATACGACGTCGATACTTCTCGGACGTTATCTGTGATTGTTGAGTTAATTGGAGTAAGAAAACCACCCAAGCTAGGCGTCATCACAGGAGTCATTGGAGCTGTATATATAAAAAAAAAGAGACAGGATTGCATTAATATCAAATTTTTCCAAATCCATTTCTTGTCGGACTAACCATAATCCAAATCCAATAGCAGGTCAAAGTTGCATTTTGGCTTTTCTTTCACTTCTTGCTTAACAACTTTCGGCTTTTCTTCTTCGTTCTCTCGAGTCTCGCTTTCTTCCTCTTCTTCTTCCTCTTCAGAATCTTCAGAATCTGACTCCTCGCCGCTCGATTCGCTTTCAGAATCGTCGGATTTTGTTTCATTTTTCTTTCCACTGCCCGTTTCGGATTTATCTGAATCACTCGTATACTCTGAAGAATCGCTATCTTCGTCTGAGGATTCGCTGGACGAAGAATCGGATGATTGATTGTCCGACTCTAAAATGAAAAACAGAAAATTGAAGTACACAGTATACGTGTAAACGTTATCGGATGATACCTTCAGCAGGAGTGCTTTCCTCGTCACTGTAGAACGATTTCTCCTTTCCCTTGTTCTTTTTCTTGTCCTTTTCTTTCCTGTTGTGCCGCTCTTCCTTAAGCTCTTGCGCGGTAGAAGGCGCAACGTCTCGTACAGATGGATCCTGCGTAACTTCTGGAAAAGGCGGTAAAGGCCGGTATCCCACGCACGGCATGTCCAGGTAGTGAGACAGAGTGCCCAATTGATACTCCGAATCTTTAAACTTGGACGTTAAAGTTGGCGCCGGTTTTGGTGCGAGGAAAACTCTCTTCGCGAACTGTGGAAGCATCTTCGCGTCACTGTCTTCCTCGAAGATAAAATGCCGTAGAAAACGCGCGCGGTCCCTGATGTCGTAGTTCTGATCGTATTTGGCAAGTTGGAAGACATATTGGCAAAATGGCTTTGTCTGCGAGGGATTGTTCAGACATAATTTCACAGCTAGATTCAAGGTTTGCAGCTTCACTATATCCTGCTCGTTGACGAAACTTTTCGCCATCTTTCGCAGCACGTCCGGCGCTATCTTAGGAACTCTGTCGGAGTATTCGCCTAGAAGCCACAGGATGGACGCTCTGGCTTGCGGAACTGTTATGAAATCCATTAACTTAGCCATGTGAGCGATGATGTCTTTATGCTCATTCGGTTGCGTTTGCAGGAGCTTTTTTATCACCACAACACTTTCCGCCACAATAGCCTCTGGTCGAAAAAGAAAATAGCGTAATTTTTAACCGACGAAAGGAGAGTTTCCTTATTGTCACCAGTAATGATTAAAGATTGAGACGGGAAACTTATAGTCAACCCAACTGGCTAAACTTTTAGCCAGTTGGGTTGACTATAAGTTTCCCGTCTCAGTAATTTTTAACGTAGCATAATGTATAATACAAAACACAATGTAGTATACAGCTGTAACAGAAGTTTACCATCTCTATTGCTCAACAATGATACCAGTCCGTTGAGGCACATGTCGGTCACTTCCTTGATGTTACTCGCACATCTGCCGATTGCCTGAATGCTGGCCCCAACAAATTCCTTGTCACTACTCGAGATATACGTTTGAAATTCTCTCAGTATTACGCTGATGCTGGTTTCAGTCACCAAATTCGTCAATATGTCGAGTTTCAGAAGCTTTATATGAGTAGGATCGGAAGTCCGTACGAAGAACGATTTCAGGAAAGGCTCAAACATTCCCTGTAACGTAGAACAGCATCAATTATATGATGCGCAAAGTTGAGTTAATTAGCAAATTAATTTGTACCGCGTTTCAGCGCTTACCTTTCTCGTAATTGATATGCTAGCGATACAGTGAAGCACAATACTCTGCACCTCTCTGTGGCCTCTCAGCAATCTTATTAGTGCCTTTGCAGCGGTCATAACTTCGCTTCTGGGCGCTGCGTGATGATATAACTGAGCAACCGCCATCACCACAGATGCGTTTCGACTTTGTAACAAAGGTTTCGTATTCCTTAACAGTAAACGATGGTCGGGATCTAACATAAACTTTGGTTTCTTTGTGTTGGAAGAGTCGGAATCGGAGTCGTAGAATGGCCGATTTTCGTCTTCTTCTAAAGTCTGTGAATATTAAAAAAAAAAATTTAGTCAGAACCTTATCTATCTCTCCTCCTCGTGGCGCGCTCACGACGATGCGTACTTACGTCTGTATTTGGATTGACAAATTGTGTCCTAGCGTATCTAGTGAGTGTGTTAACAATAACCACTTGGCCCCATTCCTCCACATCCACCAACAGGTTGCACAACTTTCTGTAATTCTTATGGATCAGATCGATCCTCTCTGGACACACTTCTTCGAAGGCCATTACTGCCGAGCCCACCACGAGGGTAGTTTTGTCGGACAGCAATTTTTCAAGCACGCCTATCAATTCGTCCTTCTGCTCGTGGTCCAGCGAGTACAATTTAGGGATGGCGTGAGCAGCAGTTTTCCGCACGTACGGCGACATATCGCTGGCCGAGTCTTTGATGGCCAGCATCACGATCGGTACTATCATGGAGACCCGTATGCTGGACAACACCCTCAGAGCGCTGGCTCTTATCAGCTGATTGGGATCCTTCAGGGCCCTTTGAAACGTTGATATCGACAGAAGTGCCAGATCCTGCTGATCCTCCGCATAACGAACCAGATAAACGTACACCAGCTTTTTCACCTCGATATTCTTAGACACCACATTTTTCACCACAGCCGGAAACATGTCGGACGCATCTTTCCCTTTGGCCACCATCTGGAAAGGGAAGGTCGAGTTATTGCGAGTTGCTGCCACCGATCGGAATCGAAATCATGCAATTACCCCAATTATACGCTTCATGGCTTCCAATTTGAGCCCGTCCTTGTTGCTGTCCAGCATCTCCTTAAGATCGTCGTGCCTGAAACACATAGTTTTCATGAAAATGTCCGTCCACGTCGCGTTTCACCTGCATTCAATCGAACAGCAATAGGATGTAGATAACAAGATACGAATAATTCAATATTCATGACAGGCTTCACGTTCAGAGCTGACTCGCTCCGCGCGTGGAAGCGACAGCTGGCGCGAACGAGGGGCGTTTCTAGGCTAATTACTTCTTATAATCGGAGTGAAATAATCCACTCATGAAGGATGGGATTTCCATCGTATCGAAGAGATCCACATCTGGAGTGGGTGGCCGCTCGACGCTGTAGGAGCCACCATTGTTTGACATGCTCGCGGCCGCCGTCAACATTATTCCGTTTTGTCTCACGACGCGGGGCGATAATCCTCTCTCGGGACGAAAAAAAAAAAAGAGTCCAAGTGTCTCGACAATTATCCGCACATCAGGACTCCCGTTCCTAGATTTTTGACAGCCGTCCTCAGCGAGCGGCCATATTGTTTTGTGCTTCCACATCACGGCGAAAGTGTAGCTGCGCTGCCCTGCACTCTCTTCATTTAAAGCCACCCTAAAGTGCACAAGATAATTGCTCGTATCGACAAAGTTGTGCCGATAATGTCTGTACTCTTCATTTACCTGCGGACTCGCTTGATAATTACAAAAATTCTAAAGACTGATATCCCACGCGGCGCAGAAATTAAGAAACATCCGCTTACTTGTAGAATATTACAAAAATTAACAAACGCGCTCCAGTTCTAGCATTTTCATGTTGATTTTTATGACACTTTTTAAACTTACGTAGAATTCTTAGATTCTGGCAATACATACTGTATATTTTATTCTTTTAATACAATTTTGTAGAATTATTTCCAGCAGGGAAGGGAACGAAGAGATAAGACAGATTGAAAGAAGTAATTGCGCGAATCGAATGATTTGTGTTGCGTTCAAGCGAAATACTATTTAATAGCTATATGGTCGAAAAAAAACTAAAAAATACAAATTTAAATTGTATAATATGTATATGGCCCTCCCAGCGAGAAATGACTCGCCGATCGATGTCGAAATAATGTTGAATCGACATTGTTTTAACGAATTTAAGTTCTCACTGGGTTCTTCATCATATTATCTGCATATGTATACGCTGAAAAGAACATTGCACAGTTGAAAAATTTGTGTTCAATTTAACACATGTCCCAAACGGTCCACACAAATTTCTTTGTTAATTTAACGTAATATGGACATGTTAAATAATCACACTAATACTATTATTTAATTTATTATAATATTATAAAATATTAAATAATAATAAAGATTTTAACACAAAATCAATGCAAAACTGAAAATAATTTTGTGTAAAATTAACATATTTTTAATGGCAAAATGAATTTAGAAAATGTAATTTTTACATTTTGCAGATGTAACAAGTCAAATGACGGTACGAAATCACTCTCACTTATGTAGAATAAAATTACTATTTTATTTTGTAAATTTTAACAGATAAATTTTGTTACTAATAATATATAGAACATATGTATTGTGTCAGATTAAAAAATCAGTACATATTGTGTTGTTTTAACATTTCCTTTCAGCTGTTTTAATGATTTTACATTTGAGGTCAATTAACACAAGAGCAATATGTTAAATTAACACATGAACGTGTTGAACATTTAACACAAAAATTGTAATCGGCATTTTTTTAAACAAGAAAACACAAATTTTCCAACTGCGTAAGATTAAAACCAATCTTTTTCCTAAATCTTGTGTGTCTTTTCAGGTGCTTTGTGAGCATTACAAAAATTTTTCGCTTTCTCGTCATATCTTTTGGGAAGTTTGACAAGAAAAGCTGGGACGCACGATTTCTCGTCAGATAAGTTCTCAGTCGCGGTTCCTTTTTCCGGAAGGAGTAAAAGCGCATTAGCACCTGCGGCACTGACCAGCTTGTCGCAGATAGTGTTTCCCTTGCTGGAAGCTAATGCACATTCTTTCGCTGGACTCCACTCCAAAACCGTCCATGCAAGTCTAGCACGACTGTGCAAGGTGTATTGCTGCTTCATCTGCAAGTTTACAAAATTATAACAGTGTATCGCAACACATTTCATCTCGCGACACGCGAGAGCAGACTTACGGAAACTGATGGTATCACGGAGTATTCCGTGTGGAAGTTGCCGCACAAATTGTTCACCAGAGACAAAAGGAATATTTGCGCGCAAATGAAAGCGGATGTCGGATTTCCTGACAGACACAAGAGATACTTCTTCGCGCCATCGATCTTGCACGTTGCAAATATCGTCGACTTTCCCGGTTTTATATTTACATTGCCTGAAGAGATACGTTTCGTTCTGAGTAACAAATATGTTTCTCTTCTGATTATATGTTTAATTAAGAAAAAAGACACATACCGAAGTGTATATCGGCTTTACACTGCTCCAAAACGATCTTCAATAAATCTCTGTCGTTAGTCGAGCCCGTTGTCACGAGTAAATCTACTTTCTCTAAGGCTTCCTCGATTTTATTCTGTATAGGCGTCAACCTCAAGTGTATAATCATATAGTTGGTAAATTAAATGGAGAATATTATAATGTACGCACGTAAATTTTAAAGGGTCTCACTCATTATCCACAATGCCGAAGTCCAAAGAATGAAAATTCTTCTCTTTCAGCAGAGATATTAGAGTTATTCGGTTAGCGTCGTACATAAATCCCGGTTTCAAAGGATTTTCAAGCTCTTGTATGTTACTTCCGATAGACAACACACCTATGGATATTTGTTTAGCGACCAGGACTTCTTTGCGGCCGGCAGCTGACAAAAGTGCTATCTGTATTGAGCTAATACGCTCGTGTGAATTTGCGACGATTTGTCCTTTCGCTAAGTCGTAGCCAACAGGACTTCACAGAATAGATAAACAAGCAGACTAATTACTAATGAGATAAAAATCGGTCGCGTTTATTGAAGATATTGAGCTACGTACTGGATATTGTGTCCGCTTTCTGGTACAATCTTTATCTCAATATACGTGTTATTGCTGCGTCTAAACTTATGTACTAGTTTCGTGTCTGTTATTTGTACGATCGCTGTTGCCCCTGCAATGGAAATGACAATGAGTTCTTTGCTGACAACGGGTCAGCACAAAGATTTAATTATTTACCATCGGGAATAGACGCTTCTCTTTTCACCCGCATGCAAGTCCCAGGTTTGAGCGGCGTCGAAGGAGGCTAAAAAAATGCTGTTTCGTAACTTGCCACGCATTACACGAATCTGATACAACTTACTGTATCGTCTACGTCCACCACCTTCCTTAAGCCTTTTCCATCACTCGCCAGTACTGCATATCCTTGTTCAGCGGCAGTTTCATATGATGGCAAGTCATACTTGGCTTCTACGTTTTCACACAATATTCTGCCACAAGCATCACTTACTTGCACCGCTTCCACAGCTGTTTTCTCTTGACTCTCACTTATTATTTTATGCATCTTGGACAGTGCATCTGATAAAGAAATCATAGGAAATGATTCCTTATGGCGTTTGTTATCGTGCACGTTGTTCTGTGGGAAAAAGAGTTTTAGTAGCATATACAGTACTGTAAAATTTTTACATTGTTGCTAATGTGGAAAGTATCTTAACTGGCTTACAGGAGGTACAGGAGAAGTGGACGTTTTCTGGCGCTTGAGATTAATATTGGCCTCGTTCTGTATTAAAATTTCAATGCACAAGATCAAATTTGTTATGTACATTTTTTTTAAACAATCAGAGAGAGTATATTGTTCTGCACATATACCTGCATCGTAGAATTATTTGAAATAGGCGCAACGTATAGCGACAAGTTCTGGTCTTTAACCATATGTATCAAAGATATCACCTCCGGTATTATATCCGCAATTGCTTCGAAGTAATCTTTTGGATCTTTGTGTAGGCCAGATAAATCGATGATTAGAGTCTGATTTCGTATTCCGTATACAAATCTAAGAAGAAATGACAATTGTACAGCTGTAATTCTAAAAACTTCAATATATACACGACTTCAATGCACCGACCATGTCAGGCCACGTGTCTAGAAAGTATTGAGACTGATTTTTTCTAGTCAAGGGAAAAGGGTAGGGGGTGGTCTCTATGAGCAGGGGCATTAGTGGTGCCCGTTCTACACCAAGGGATGATCTTATTGTACTTGTGGCTCATCCAATGCCCCTTCTATACCTGAAGATAATCCTACTTGCCTTTTGGACTCTGATCGACGTCTTGGTGTTTCAGTTTCACCCCAAACTTGATCGCATACCGTTGTTCAATCGCGCGCCGTATCTTGATTCCTGATGGCACCACAAAACAACTGCTCACTCCGGGCGTGATCTACATTCTACAAAGGCTCAGAGGCAATTGAACCGGGTCGCATCGTATACCGGACATTCCCCACTAATGTCTCTGTCCATAGACCATAGACCCTCACCCTTTTCCCTTGACTAGAAAAAATCAGTCCCGAGTACTTACTGGGCCGACCATGTAGATAAATGGAAATAAAAATTTACTTGTTAGACACAAGATTGTACAGCTTCATTTCTATATTTGATATCAGTATTGCTACGTGTTCAGAAAGAGTGTTGCTATGGATAACATTTGTGACTGCTTCAATTACACGACGTTTCTCAGAAAATCCAATGTCACCGATAATGAGAATAAGATCACTGTTATTCTCATCGCACGACAAAAGTAGCCGCTCCTATGTCGTGTAAGCAAAATTAATTTGATGATCAAAAATATTACAAACTATTAATATATCTGTGTAGTTACCGTTATATCAGTTTCAATTGGATTTGCGTTTGTCAAGCCACATATTTGTACATCAGTTACAGTTTTCAACATATCCTCAATGTTACCATCTACATCTATCTTAGATCCGTTCTGATCATGTACTAAATTATCATAACACAATTAGAATTTTGAAAATTATTACAAAAGCATCAAGTATCGCACACATTATTTATCACAATACGGTTTGACGTACAGAAAGAAATTGCTAAACGTGACAAAATTTGAAAACGCATGAAAATTAATTGTTTTTATCTGTGTGGTGTATAGAAGCATTAGCGCAAAGAAACTATCGCATATATGTAAATTATAACTAAAATATTCTTTATTACAATCTGTTATTAAAAAGATTTCATTTAAATATTCTTGCCGTTTCTTCAAGCATGGTATAATACACATGAAAAATATACTTTGCAGTATAATTACACACCGACTATAATTTCCACTTTGATGACCATTTTAGCCTCTCAATAGCCCGTTTGTGGCGTGTTAACAATTATCACTATGTGTGTTTCGCCGCAATTATCAGATTGTATTCGACCTAGTCGTCGAACGGTTCCCTGAAAAATATCACGATGATGAATTGTTTATATTTTTAGCTTCTTTTAATTCTGATTGTTATTGGACAACAACTGTTTTGTTTTGCATATACGTATAACATGCTGCGGATCATGGTCCAAACGAATTCTCCTTCTAACGATCTTGCAACGCGTAATTTGTAACTTTATCAACTCAAAGAAAAATTAATAATAAGTGTATGTTTTATCAAAAACGAAATGTTCACGCTTAAAAAGAGATAGATATCCATGTATTACCAAGAAAATTTCTTTTATACATTACGTCTTGTTAGCAGATGATTTAAAAACATACAACTTGCTAAATATGCAAACTGAATGGCGAAGAGATTAAGAGCAAAAACCTAATATTAAATACGGTATTTTATTTTCTCCTATATCTTTTTCATTCTTCCTCCTTTCCTCGTTTTTCTCGTATTACTGCAGTCCCGACTTCTGACCAACGGCTCAGTGCTGCCTCAGTCTGATCAAAAACTGAGCTTTAAACCACGAGAATTACCGTACTACACCGGATTATGTTGCTTGGTTTTTTCGGTCTAGTTACACGAGGTTTATTCGATCCGGTCTCTCTGGTCGTCCTGCAGCTCGTCCTCGAGCTCTTTCGTCGCTCTCATCGCTCGATGTTCACCCTCGTTCGCTTCTCTATTGACTGAAAAATGTGCCTGGACGCGATATCTACCTGTCGTAGGGGAATCGTGTAACACATGTATCTTTTATTTATTTTGACTACGCCGCATGCCCCTCGGTGAGAGGATTTCGGTACTTTTTAATTTAATTTTCAAAGACGAGTCTGATAAACTTTAACCTGAGAAATAAAAGTGTAAACAATCAATGATCAGCGTCTTCTTGTCTAGTATCCAAAGCATTTCTCCAACCTTTTAACGTATACATATAACGTTAATGCACATACTTATTTTGTAAAAATTTAAAAAGAATTCATTGTAGATATGATAATAATATAATATTCAAACAGATTTAATGGAAAAAAAACAAGTATTAGGAAAGTCCTCGATTATGAGATAGAAGGTTTTCAACGTCCAAATTCAATCGCAAATCTTTTTTACTACGATTACACGATCTAACAATCAATTTTCCACTAAACAGTTTTCACTCCAAGAGCAACAAATTCGTGGTGGAACCAACAATTAATGACAACTATTAATTGAGCAGAAACTCCGTTATCTCATATCAAGAGCCTGTCTCATGATAGGGGACTTTCCTCTACTACAAAGAAGAAAGATTCCAAAGTACTTTAGATTGATGAAACATGGATATTACATTATATAATTACAATGCAAGATTGTGGTATGTAATATATTATTTATGCATATTACATACCACATATAATTATACATAGAAATAATATCATATAATTCAAACATTTCATATCAAGTGTTTTAATTCATACATTTCAAACACAAAATCGGTACGGACTTATGCACAGACCCAATAATTTAATGGTATATACATATATACCTATGTGTGTATTAAGATCTTAAAAAATTACGTGTGCGTATCTATGTCTAATTAAAATGTTCTAACATTTAACTTTCTTATTCTAACATTCTAGATAGCCAGAATGCTCAAGCAACGTATGGAAATAAAATGCCAGCAGCTGATGCTCTTTGCTAGGAATATCAATTCAATGTTTGGGCGATTTAAGTACAGCTAGCAAATATTAACATATTGTCGTAGTTAAATGCACAGCAAAGATAGCACATCGAATAGGCATACTGTTAACAGAGTTAGCATATATTGTTTTCAATTTTCTAACGGATATAAACATATATGTTATATCTATTACATCTGACCAAGCACTTAATGTTTGGATCATACAAATGTCTCATTTCCGACATCAAATGCAAATGTATAGCAAGATGCTAACGTTTTTCTTGGCAATGTGAAAGCAACTTGTGCTCACACTGGCTATCTGGCTTAACACTTAAATGTTTAACTAAAATAAAAATGTGTGTATGTCTAATTTTTTTTTAATTAATTGCGGTCAAGAACTCTAATTTTCACCTACATACATGTCCCAGATTTAAAAAGAGGCAATTAAAAAGTTTTGTTTCATAGCTCTTCTCAAGCTATTATTATCAGTTACCAGTATAAAATTGGTATCTGAAACTATATCTAGTGGTATGTTATAATCACTGCCTTAAAATACCGCAGCTCTGTCACTGTCACGTAGAAAACTTTATTTTATTTTTTTCTATGAATTATATGTACTACTATACGCATATTATGCATAATAATAAATAGGGATACAGACACTCCACCGGGAGATAGGAAATACTGAGACACGCCGTTTAATTACTTGTTGACGAGAAAAATGATGGGCTAGGAGTATGATTTGAACCCGGAACGTTGCCGGGCGACTGCTCTTATTTCTATCGAGCTAGCCGGACTTGCACCCCATGCTCTTCTCGTTTGCCTATTTTATTTTACTCGACAAAATGTAAGCATAATACGCTAACAGCGCGGCCTCAGGGACGACGATATCTCACGCGATGGTTTAGTAAAGCTGCGTTCGGAAACGTTACTCGAGAGAGCCAGTTTATCATTTTATCCTTGTTCACCATTCAGTGAAAAACAAAGGTAAAAAATAATACACTAGGGCACTCAGGTGATGTTTCCAAACGCAGCCTAGACCATCAAATGGATGTAGAGTGACTGCACCCCCGAAAATCTCTCTAGCAAATAAAGAAATGTATCACCGTTATTCTGCCTGAATAGCAATCTGGCGCAGAAGGTATGTTCGAAACGAACATGGTCTCCAAGTCCAATAGTATACGTACAAGTAATCTATAGTCTTCACTTGAACGTACACATATATCAAACAAATTAACAATTAACTTGTTATACCGTAGTCCACATACACTCCTGAAAATATATTAATTGTAAAAGTTGTTATTTCTTTTTTGAATTTAGATGTTAACAGAAAACAAAAACTTTACCTACTAAACAAAGGTATGTCGCACCCGTCTGCCACTCTTACTGCGCCTGTAACAGGTGGAACCAAAAACTCTAAAAACGCATCTAAACATCTTCTATGGAGGTAATAACCATTGCGTCCAATGACAAGAATAACGATAGCCTCACTTTCGTCGAATATTTCACATAATTTATCCTGTATCAAGCAAAATAAATAAAAATTAAAACTATTCACAACCATGGAATATATTGAAGATATCTATTATTACCCTTAACATAACTGGGTTTATAATTGTCACGATGGTCACGTTTACATTAGGTACAGATGTTAACTCGTTGATAATACCTTCAGATGCGTCTATCAAATCAGCCATTTCGTTTGGTGAATATACTGCATGACAGAATTATTAAATTTTGAAAAATATAAGTTTAAATATTATACGTTTTTTGTGTATGTATTTGTATATAACAAATATACATAGTATAAAAAATACGTACAAATTATAATTTCGAGCTTCGTTGTCATTTTAGCGATCGTTCGACTCCCTCACGTTTCTACTTTCGCTGGTGTGTGTTTCGCACGTACGTGTGGTCCCAACTGCCCACGTTTGTCGGCTAATTTTCGTTTAAAATAGTGCGTGGAAATGTTTTACGTTAAAGCACTGCTTTTTCCTCTTTATTTAATATTGATATTATATTCAACAACGTCGGCTTTGTTTCAAACACCGCCCGGTGTTCAGTCCCATCCTCTTCACCACTGGAGAATAAAATTTGCGTACCCGTTTTCGCAACAAAGGTCAAAATGATACGTGCATTGTGATTAGTTAAATAGAGTTTGTTTTGACTGGTTTCTTCTCTAGTGCCACATCAGTTGTATCAGTTGTTAACTGTGTACAAATATATTCATATGTATAAGGGTAAAGGAATTTTCAAGCACCTTTATAACGATATGATATTGTGAGAGAGTCCAATCAGAGCGGAGAATTCAATTTGGCCAATCTATTTGGTCCACGGACCACTTTGGCCCGGATCATTTTGACCCTCGTCGCGAAAGTAGTCCTGGGCACCTATCACAGAAATATTTAGAATTGTTCAATTATTTCCTACATGTCTATTGTATATTCTAGGCGAAACGGAATTCGATCGAAATCCAATCGGAATATTTTCATGATGAGTATACCTTGGACTAGAGATCCTTGGACTAGAAACTTCTCTCAACATGATGTTTATCTGTCATAGGAGCGCTGATGCTGCAACCTATGTATCTTTTGTTTCTTTTGACTGTGCCGCAAGTCTCTCATTAAGAGCATTTCGGTAGTCTTTAATTCAATTTTTAAAGACACGTCTGATGAAATTAAACTCGAGAAAGTGTCAATAGTCAACAGTCAGTGTCTTTCTGTCTGGCTGCTAAAGCATATAACTTTCTAATATATATGTCTAATATAACGTTAGCGTACATACTCATTTTGTAGTAAAAATTTAAAAAGAATACATGCTGCAAACATGATAATGATATAATATTAAAACAAACTTAATTTTAATGATTGAAAATAAAATAAAATGTTTTTATTTAAATGTTTTATTTCAATTAAAATGTAATTATTTAATTTAAAGTAAAGCGAAACGTTTATTACTTTATTAGATAATAACATTTTATTTTATATATTTACAATAAAACATTTATTTGTGAAAATAATAATACGCACACATTATATAACATTTTCGTTATATTAGTTTAAATAAACTTAATTATTTGTCGAACATATTCTATACATGTGTAAAAATGCGATTATTACATACATTTTAAATTTATAGAAACGTTTAAAAGAATATGCAAACAAAAAGTATTATTACAATTTACATTTTTAAATTAAAATTATTAAAAGCGATAAAAATCAAAATTAATGGAAACAAATTTTCAGCAGAGAGTAGTTTTGCTACTGTTGTAAAAATCGTGATTGGCGTGTGTTCTTAGATTTAGCCAAGAAAGTATATGCCAATCAGATTTACAATTTTTAAAGTTTCAAAACAGTTTTTTCTTTTAAACATCATCAATGATTACAGAATACTTCTAAAGTTATCTGAAATTTAAGCTCTATATTTAACAGTGAATTTTTAAAATGAAATTGGCGATGCCCAACGAGAAATGACTCATCAATCGATGTCAAAATAATGTCGATTCGACGTCGTTTCGACGAATCATTTCTCACTGTTTATGATTTATGAAACGTATAATCATTTAACATGGTGAGATTTCCAATTTAGAAACAAACCCATACAGCACAGAAAGTTAAAATAATGTTCCTGAAACGTTGCAATGTTGAATGTCGAAGTATAAATGTCTTTTCTAAGATAAATCTAGGTCAATGTTATAAATTTACTTTGATTCTTGATGTTGCTGCCACGTTAAAGCAATCTTGAACAAATTATTATTTTTTCATACTCAAATACTTAAAAAATGTATTATTATGAAATGTATATGTATATATATTTTTTGCAACGGTCAGAAATTTTCTGAGCTAAGATTGGATTATTGTCCTAGAGAAACAATTAATCCAATTTCAGCACATTCAACAGTTGTAAAAAAATGTTCTGCTAAATGCGACCAATGTTAACTCAATATAATTTAACAATGTTTCTGAATGTTGAATTGTAACGTTTACAAAACATTACAATTCAGCGGACATTAGACGTTTCTGCAATATCTTTTCAACGTTGAATCTACATTTCGTAACATTGATGCAATATTTGCAATGTTGTAATGAAACGTTTCTGAGATGTTGATTCAACATTTGTGTGCTGTATGGGGAAATAAGTTAGTGAAGTGTTATTAGTTTCTCTACTTCAAATCGATGCGTCTTAGAATTTATACCATATTCTAAAATTTGTACTATATTCTAACGTTAGCAAACGTGACGGCATCAAATAACGTATTAATAACGTTTTATTAATATCCCTGAGAGACATAAGTGGTACTTCATTAAGATTCCTTTAGAGCATCATGATTGCTGGAATCTTTATAATGATCGATAAGCATTGCTGGTAATATTTTGTTGGTTTCATGTAATATGTTTACTTCCTTTTCCTTAAATGGTAATAGCAAAAATGCGTTTGAACCTATTATATTACACAATCTATCCTTGTGGAGTTTACAAATGCTGGAAACCCTTGCAAACTTTTCTGTCTTCAACCATTGTAAACGTGCCAACACTACTGCAGGACGATGATGTAAAACAAATGCATCTTTTACCTATAATTTTGCAATAACGTAACAATAATATGTATACAGGATATGAGGAAAAGTCTAATACAAAAATGTCAAGGCTGTAAACTTTTTTGTAAATAATAAGCGATTATATTTCACAAATGACAGACCTGAGACTTTGCGCGCTCAGGCACGGCGACATAACGAGTGATGAAAGTGTTCCTAGGAATGTCGCACCTTTTCATTTAATTCAAGTAAAAATTTGCAACATTTTGTAACTTCAAAGTGTTGCAGCTGTCAAAGTGGTCGATCAATATCAGTTACCATGAAGGTTGTTACTATGCTAAAAAGGGCGACATTCATAGGACCACTTTCATCACTTGGCATGTCGCCGTATCTGAGCGCGCGAAATCTCGGGCCTATCATTTGTGAAATATAATTGCTTACTATTTAAAAACTATTATAGCCTCGACATTTTTGTATTGGAATTTTTGTCTTGCAACTTCCTAAAGAAGTCATGATTAAAAGGATATACGGTGGTTTTAGTACACCCTGTATACCATTTCGTGATATATGAAACCAATCTTACCTTAACTGATATTATAGCAGGATACGGCATTTCAATGAGATGCAACATTTGTATAAAGGGCAAAACGAAATAATGTGCGGCAACTAAAGCGGATGTCAGATTTCCCGATAAGCACAAGAAATACTTCTTCTCGCCATTAAATTTGCAACTTGCAAATGTCGTTGACCTTCCTGGTTTTATATTTATATTATCTAAAAGAACAAGTACAGTTATACAGACATGTTTTCTTTTGTATATACTGGTAATTAGTGCGAGAAACAAAAGAAACCAATATATATTGTAGCTCTAAAGTATACTGTTAAGATGGTTTTCAAATAATCTTTGTTGTTAACAAAGCATGTTATCACAAGTACATCTGCTTGTTTTAACGCTTTCGCGATTTTCTCCCGCATGGACATTAAGCTGGAAAAAGATTAAATTAAAGATTAACTATATATTGAATATTTAATTAATTATAAGTACTAAAACAAATAATTATTTGTAAATGAAAAATATAATAATATAATAGCTTGGATATTTGAAGTTCTAATAAATTTTAAAAGCTCTCACTTAATGTTCACGATTCCGAGATCCAAAGGAGAGAAGCCATTTTCTTTCAGTAGAGAGATTAAAGTTATTCTATTAATATCGTAAACAAATCCTGGTTTCGAAGATGCTCCAGGTTCTTGCAAGTTATTGCCGATGGATAACACACCTATTGACACCTGTTTAATGACTATAACTTCTTTGTAGCCGGCAACTGCCAAGAGTCCTATTTCTAGTGATCCAATACGTGTGAACTTTTGAATAATACTTTTACCTTTCGTTATGTCGTAACCAACAGTTCTTCAAAATAGATATATAGATAAATTGATTAGTTGTATTTTTAGAAATAACAAATACACTTTTCAGCTTATAGAAAAATGTAGAGTTTGTACTTAATGTTTTGTCCATGTTGCGGTTGAATCATTATCTCAATATACTTGCTGTCGTCGTTTGGAAATTTTTCTAATGGCTTTGTATCCTCTACATGTACAACCGCTGTTGCTCCTGCAATCGAATAGAAACGGTTGTTAATTCTTTATTGCGGATTAGCGTAATGTACTTATGGTTTAATTACGTACCTTCGGGAATAGGCGCTCCACTGTTTACCCATAAGCATGTTCCAGGTTGAAGCGGAATCGGGGGAAACTGGAAAAGTTTCATTCTAGTTCTAATAATTGTAACTTGTTGCACATTATAATACGTAGAGGAAAGTCCCCTGTTATGAGGTAGGCTTCTAACACGAGATACCAGGTTTTCAACAATCAAATTCGATCGTAAATCTTATTTTTTGCAACGATTGCACAATCTAACTTCCCACTAAACAAATTTTACTCCAAGGGCAATAAATATATGATGGAACCAGCAGATAATGCTTATTAATTTAGCAATAACTCCGCTATCTCATATTAAGAGTCTACCACATAATAGAAGACTTTCCTCTATGCGTCTGATTCCAACTTACTCTATTTCCCTCTTCCTGCACTCTTCTTTTTCCTATTCCATCCTTCGCCAACACTGCATATCCATGCTTCTTGGATGTTCTAAATGGTGGCACGTTACAATTCGAATGTACATCTGTACACAATATTCTGCCACATGCATCGCTTATCTTTACCAATTCAGAACTACTAATTTTTTTATCTTCAAATGCTATTGTTTGGAATATTTCAGCTACTTTATCCACAGGAATTATATTAGGAACTAGTCCCTCATAGTCGTAGTCTGCATTCTCGCTTACATTCTGGAAATACCAGAAGTTATTGGAAATACTAGGAGTAATTGAATTGTAAATGTATATTTAATTATACATATGTACAAAAAAAACCATTATTTCTTGTGCAGAGAGTGTCTTACCTTTGCAAATAATTTCTCCGAGGAGTCAGAAGAGTATGCCTCAAAATTGTCCTCCTCATCTTCCTATACAAAGAAATTTCGTAGTCTGTACTATGTTATAAATTTATTATAAAATATCAATTCGAACATAGACAACATTTTACCTGCTCTGAAAGATCACTATCGGCAGAGAGTGCATCATCAGACAGCGAAAAGTGTTCATTTTCAGTTTTACGTATGTAATGTACCGCACCCACCAGCATATTTAAAAGATCTGAAATGTATTCTCTTTTATCGCAATATATGCCAGACATATTAACGAATAACATCTTGTTGCGTATTCCACATCTAGGTCTGCAAATAAATCAACGTAAGAGTTGCATATTTGAAAGCGGTACCGCGAATAAAAACCAAAACGTTTACCTATAATGCGTAATCTTCTCCAGTTTGTCTTCTATGTCTGTCATCAGGTTTACTAATTGTGTAGGCAGTGCTTTGCGACCGACAATAACATCTTCAATTGCATCATTTGCAAAATAACTCTCAGCGACAGTGGATTCACCAGTAATGAAAATCATATCAGGTGTCCTTTCCTTGGACGGTGAAACTAATACTTTCTATGTCATATTAGTAAAGTAAAATTAAAAATCAACCAAGCAAGTATTTATTAAACGCACTTATAATTACCGTTAACTGAACTGGTTTTATGATTGCAACATCCACTATACGGACATTGGGCGTGCCTATTATCGCTTTGAAAAAATTTATATTTCTTCCAGCAAATGAATGGTCTAAAACACGTTTACTTTTTGCAGAACCATCTGATTTACGTATTAAATAAACACGATTAAATTGTATTTTTAATTAATAATATAACAATGCCATTATGTCACAAGATACATGCACACTTTTTATGTGATAATTTGTGCTATTCGGAAATATTCTTGTTAAACGTGACTCTATAATAAAACTATGCGATACATGCGAGAATATTTCCCGGCACTTTAAGCGTATTTAATGTTGCAGATATTAAAAAATTGTAAATATTTCAACTAAAACTATTTCTTGATTATAATCGGGTACTTAGAAATGGACTTCATTACAATACGTGTGCAATATTTACGAAGATATAATTAACAAGGACGATACATCTTATTGTACGTACAAATGAACATTTTAACTCCTATCATTTCAGCCGTTCTCGACATCTTTCCTCGTTTCTGTGTGTACTGATTGTGAGACTCGCCGTGTTACTTTTGCCGTTTCCTTTTCCACGTTTGATTCCGACAACGATGTACCGAAACGCTCGGGATGTGTGCAACTGTTTATATTTTTCCCCTCGACGGTGAAACTGTGCTCGACAATGTCGACGTAGTTTTGAAATACAATTCAGCGACAATCTTTCC